CTGGTTAATTTTTCCAATTTTTAAAAGGCTGTAATAGTGGATCTGCATGTTTCAACTTGATTATATTTGACCAAAGCAAACCACAAGTTGTTACATGATAGCTAGTTAATAACATTGGCATAAAAAAAGCAAAGAATTTATCTTATACAGTTGATCTGGTTTGTACTGTATATAGCACGTAGCCTGGGTTTTCATACTGGGCTGGCATGAATAAAAAGCTGACTAAAGGCATTAAAACATGTGAAAAGCTCCATCTGCTTGCCAAACTGAGCAGCAGTGATGTAAAGTAGATCTAATTCTTTTACATAGATTCAACAATAACAAGTGATCCTTTAAATAAAGCCCACCTTCTTCTCCTCCTCTGAGCCTCTGACAAGATGTACTGAGGGAAATATTCCACTGATGACTGAAGGCAAACATAAAGAGAGCAAATCAATAGGGGTAACAGATCAGACATGAGCTGTGAAAGGCCTACTGTACATAGTGTATGTACAGTGGATCCAGAAAATATCCAGACCCTGTCAGGTTTTCAACACTTCATGTTTCAGACTCATCTTAAAAACGGATAAACTGTTTTGTCATCAATCTACACATAATGCTTGACAATGATAAAGTGAAAACAGATTTTTGGAGTATTTTATTAATTTATTAAAAATAAAAAAATATCCGATTTACATAAATATTCAGACCCTTGGTTACAACAATGGCAGTGGAGCTCTAGTGCATCCTTCTTCTATCAGTAGGATGCTTCTACAGCTCGATTAGAGTCCACCTGTGCCTAATTTAATGCACTGGATATAATTAGGAAAGGTACACACCTGTCTGTATAAGGTCTCACACTGGATGGTGTACGTCTGAGTGAAAACAAAGCCATGAGGTTGAGAGAATTGTCCATAAACCTGCGAGACATAGATCTGAGGAAGGATACAAAAAGATTTCTGCAGCAATGAAAGTGCCCAAGAGCACAGAAGCCTCTATCATTCTCAAATGGAAAAGATCTGGAATCACCAACAGTCTTGATGAATCTGGACGCCCGGCCAGGCCGAGTGATCGGGGACGAAGGGCCTTGGTCAGACAGGTAACCAAGAACCCAGGGTCATGGAGATGTCAGAAGCTTATAGAAAGACAACCATCAGCACAGCACTCCACCACCACCACTCGGGCCTCTATGGTAGAGTGACCAGGTGGAAGCCATTCCTCACTAAACGGCACACAACAGCCCACTGGGTGTTTGCCAAAAAGCACCAAAATGACTCAGACCATGAGAAGGACAATCCTCTGGTCTGGTGAAACAAAGATTGAACTATTTGGCCACAATTCCCAAAGATGTGTGTGGAGAAAACCAGGGTTGCTCATTCTGCATCTGGGACTGGAAGACTAGTCAGGATAGAGGGAAGGATGGATGCAGAAAAATATAGAGCAATTTTGAATGAAAACCTTCTCCAGAGTGCACAGGATCTCAGGCTGGGGCGAGGGTTTACATTTCAACAAGACAATGACCCGAAGCAAACCGCTAAGAAAACACAGGAGTGGCTTCAGAAAACTCTGAAAGTCCTGGAGTGGCCCAGCCAGAGTATCTCTGGTGAGACCTGAAAATGGCTGAGCACCAACCTCCCCACCCAACCTGGTTGACCTTGAACGATTCTGCCAAGAAGAATGGAAGAAATTTCCAAAAGAAAGCTGTGCCAAGCTTGCAGCTTCATTCTTGAGAAGACCTGAGGCCATTGTTACTGCCAAAGGTGCTTTAACCAAGTACTAAGTGAAAGGTCTGAATACTCATGTAAATAGGATATTTCAGTCTTTTATTTTCAACCCCTTTACCAAACATGTTGCTTTGTCATTGTGAAGTATTGCGTGTAGATCGATGACAAAAGAATTTTGAGGCAAAAATAGTTTTTCCAACAACATACGTTTTCACTCACCATGTCTTTGATGGTCATCTGACAGCCGTAACACAACAAGGTCTTCAGATTGGTTGTCTGTGGTTGCCTGTAAAAAGTGACAGCAGCTCAGAAAACTCACTGATGGTCAGTGTAGGTCAAAATTACTACTAATGTAAAGTAGAGAGTAGGATTTATTTAGTCACTGAACCAGGGTAAATTGACTTGAGCTCCACTCCAAAAATACAATTAAATGACAAGAGTACACACACTGAGGGTTCTGAAACCAGCCAAGTCCCACCTAGGGAAAATAAATTGCACTTAAAGAAACAACAGCTATGTCTACATATGGCTGCTTTGTGGTTTCTTTGTACTCGGACAACACAATGCAACTAAACTGCAAACACAGATATTTTGTGGTGTATGTATCTGATAATTTGATTATATTCTGATGCAGAGTGGGTAGCATAGCGAAGGTACAAAGCGCAGTGTTGTAAATGGTCTTATACGTGTACAGCGGTTTTCTATGCATTGCAGCACACTCAAAAGCATTTTCACAATATTTTCACATTCACCCTTTTGCACTCCCAAGCACTCATCTTGCTCAAGGACACTTCTACATGTGGACTGGAGAAGCCAGGAATCGAACCGCTAGGAGACAACCTGCTCTACCTCCTGAGTCCATATAAGGACATTATGTCACTGGACAGGGTGCTCACTCCAAGAGATGGACATCAACACAAATTCTGTCATCACCTCAGATCTGAATGGTCCTGTATTTACCATTGTACTGTGCAGTTTATATTGTAATCTGACACTTTGTTGGGTACTAACTAGTTGAGAGGAACATGAAAATAGGAAATTTAATATACACAATGTAAATTAAACAGTAAGTAGCAGCTACTGTACTGTTTTTGTTGATAGTGTCATTTTCAAAATATAGTTACTTGTTGTAGACTGTCATATGAAAAGATGCTTCTGCAAAAAAATAACCATCAAAACAATTTGTGAGCTTCTTTATCAGGCAACCTAAAGAAATATGGATTCCAGTTAATAGTCTGTGCAATTTATTGGCTTATAAAAAATGTCAGTCTGCCTTTCACTCCTCTCGTGTGGAGCATTAATAAAGCTGTCTGACTGGTGTCAGAACTGATGAAGCCTCTTGGATGGGAGGTGAAACGTCTTCGACCTAGAATTCCAAGTCCAGTTGATTTCCAAGGTTATTTTGGTTGCGGTAACAGAAAGACTGTTTTGTAAACTGAAATATAATAATTTATTTTAAAAAACCTAATAATGGTTGCTTTAAAAAAAAAAAAAAAAAAAAACATAAAAACAGGCAAAACAATCTATCATTCTGTACTGCATTTCATTCGACAGTGGATGTCCAGAATGTCTACAGCCTACAAGCTTTAGATGGCAAAGCACCAGGACCTACACTTACACCTCATTAAGTGAATGAGTGAGGTCAGGGTGTCCTGCATTCATAAAAAGCAATGCAGCATGTTCCCACCAACCAACCTCAGCTCAGTTTGCCTCATTTATATAAATCACACATAAATAAGACAGAAGACAAAACTATTGGGCACTGGCATTAGAATGATTGTTCAAACTTGCTAGTTGAAAATACTTGCATATTATTTCTCAGTATGAGTCCTGGATTATTGTGTGATTAATCACTGCACAAATAAAGAAATCACTGAACACTTACTTGGCAGAATAACAGCACCCTCCACCACCCTCTTTTCTCCCACAGTTCTCCTCTCCATCAGAAGAACAGTGCTGTCCAGTGGGAGTTAATACAGGCGTCACTGGAGGTTTTAGGGAAACATGAAGCTGATTTTAATAATGGCACCTGAATGTAAAAACTCGGTTGTGAACTATTAATGTACATTAGTGCCTGGTGTACATCGTGGTTGCCCTCCCAAATGCATGATACTGTATATCTTCTGCAGAGTGTTTTTGTCTAGTCCAACATACAGACGCAGCCACTCAAAATTGCTGCTCCCAGACAAAAGCCATTCAGCAAATTGACCATGACCGACAATAGCTACAGAAAATATAGAGGAAATGAGTGGGGGTAGAAATGATTACCTGGGTTTTGTCTTGGGATCTGAGTCCTAGTTGCACCTGGAACTTTAGTCTGGGAGAACTGCTCTGAGATCAATGTGGCATGGAAGGCTGAAGCATTTTCTGAAAGAAAGGCAGAGGGAAGAAACCTCACTCTTTTGCTCAAACTTTTTGCTTTGATAACATGCACAAATGGGAAATTCATTCATCCATCAGTGTTTATTATTGTGAATGCTAGTTTTTCCTCCCTTAATTTATTGCATCTCTCAAATGGCTATGCACAGGGCTCAAAATCAGTACTGTCCTGTTGTCCCAGGGACAATAAAAATAGCACCCTGGACACTAAAGGGGTTTTTCTATTATAGGTACCTAACAAAAAAATGTCACGCCAAGTAACACTCGTCATAGGTTCTGCATTTGTTTCCACTATGGGGTGCCCGCTTTGGACGTGCATTCTGGCAGCTAAATTTTGGCACCTGTCAGGGAGTAGTGCTAAAAATCAAATACCCTGAACACAAGGGGGTAGGGATTGTGTGCGTGCAGAGCAGTGGCTAGTGACTGGTTAAATACCCACATCTTCACACCTCAAGGATTAGCATTACACGCACCGTGTGGGCGAGAGCGGAGCAGGCCCTCCCTCCTCTAAACAGAGACTGACGCAGAGAAAACACAATGGAAAAACTAAACAGGAGCATGTTTTAAATAGATTTTTGGCTGTCGTGGTGTTTAAACTAAAGTAAAATCAACTTTACTGTGTATTCCACTGTATGTCAAAGTTTGCATGCACACACAAATTTTAGTGATGTATTTACTAACCAAACATACTACAAAAACAAAAAAAAAGTAACTCAACCAATAACTAAAAGAAAGAGACTACAAGTAAAGAAAGCTGATTAAATAGCCAAAAGCTTTTATTAAGACATAAGCTCAAAGAATAATTTCATGCTGAGGTCTGGACAAGATGCTACTGAAACATGATTTTGGACTAATACTGTGTGTGTGCATGCACGCATGTGTGTGCGCGCGTGTGTGTGTTTGTCTTTATATACTTGTGCGAACCAACCCCTGATGGAATACCTTTCTTGTGTGGACATTTCTTATTGTGTGGACCTTTTGGGTGGTCCACACAAGGAAAATGCTAGGATAGGCTCCTTTCATCCTAAAGAATGATCTGTCTAAGTTTCAGAAGATGTCCACATACAGAGAGTAAAGTCAGAAAGATGTGTGCCAGCTTGTGCTCTAAAAGTATCATGCTCTGATTAAATACTGCTTAAGCTGAATTCATGCAATACTGCCTGTGTCTCTAAAGGGCGCAGACAGGGCAGCTTAGAAGTGGGTGGTAATGAAACAATATCACACCACACAAGGGTTAAATACACTTCACACTGGCAAAATTAAAAACCACAAAAACCACATGCTTCCATCTCTGTAATGCTGTGGTTTAGGTTAACCAGGAAAGTAAGATGGGACAGTTATGAAAGATCTGCTGAAATCTGGTGATATAACATGCATTGTTTTGGTGCTTTGTGACAGAAGGTCCAGTTCACCAAATCTGCTTGGCAACAGGCTCCGGTCCTCACATGTGTAGAAGAAAAACGTTTTTTGTTTTTTTTTCGAGTTTTCTGAATTCTGAAGTGACATTTTGATTCTCTGTTGTCGCCTCATGATAGATGTGTTTTGCACCGTTGTAGCTATAGTAGAAGTGGTGGCCCTCACAAAGAAGTCACAGAACATGGGCCACACAAAGGCATAAAAGCGCGTGTGTGTGTGTGTGTGTACACACACACACACACACACACACACACACACACACACACATATATATATGAAATGTAAAAGAAAGGGACAATCTGGGACCATGGTTGTCAGCGTTCAGGATAGTTAAAAGCAGGATATTTGGGACAAATCTTGGACACTGACATAAAAAGTAAAATTCAAGCCCTGGCTATACACATGAAAAGCAGGTAGGTAAGTCATTCACATAACACTGAATAATGCCATCTGAAAGTTACATATGTGTGTACTTGTAGTTGTGATCATAACCTTCAGCTTGACAGAGAAAAAACCAAACAATTATAAATTTTGAGAGTTTATTTATCTTAGCACTTTCACTGATAACCTTAATCAGGACAGTAAATGTTTACAAAATCTTGAAGTACATATTTTTGTTAAAGATGATGAAAATTCAAGGGAACCTACGGTCCAGTTTTTATTCATCAACTGTGAAAGGTGTGCTGACTTTACCACAGTTTGGTTTGGTAATCTGACCTCTTTAGTCACAAATACATTAAAGCAAGTAAACCATCAGTAAAGATTAAAATACTCCAAAACCAGAGACTCGGATTGAGTTCTAAGAGCTAAATACAGAAACAGTTGTCTGGTCCCCAGCAAAGATAGACGAGATTTAGCTGAGGTGACAAGACCATCACCATGTTGCTGTAGTTTGCGACCAAGCCATATCACAGCGTCATGGTCCTGGGCAAGCTGCAAGGCTGTAGTGGAAATGCATTTCTTAATGCCACAGTGACCCAGGCTAGTGGAAAAAATAATTAGTGCTTTGTAAAATGCGAGTGCTTCAACAGAACTGCACCCCTGATTATTTTCCACTTTTGACTAGCATAGCTTTGGCACCTTTATATTAATGGTAGCAGCGCCCTGTGGGGGATGCTCCGGGAGTACGGGGTCCGGGGCCCTTTGCTAAGGGCCGTCCGGTCCCTGTACGACCGGAGCAGGAGCTTGGTTCGCATCGCTGGCAGTAAGT